GCCAGAGGCGGACTGGCCATCGGGAGCGCCGGGACACTTCCCGGTGGCCTGGTTGCCGAGGAACGGGACTAAAGGCTCGGTTCGGGTCGCACGGACTTTATTATTTTAAATAAACAATTCACTTTTGCCTGGGCTCAGGTCTCACGCTGCACTGCAGCGACAGAGAAAGCCTGGCACATCCCCCGGCCGGGCCGGCCCCCTCCCTTCCTTTTCTGTGTGTCACTCACAGAGCAGAGACACACACACACACATTGCGCCCGCCCCCCTCCCCGCCCTAGTCCAGGACTCGCGCTCCCGACGGTGTTGGCGCGCGGTGCGTGCATCTCTGAGTTGTAGAATGGAGCAACAGAGACAGCCAAAGAAGAGGAAAGGTGGAGCAGAGAGAGAGAGGATAAAAAAGAGAAAAGCTCTGGCCGCGGATGCTGCTAAGTGCTATAAATTAATGTTTGTTCGTAATGGAGCAGGTAAGAGAAACACTTGTGTTGAAAAAATTGAACTCTGGCACAGTTTATCAGCACAGCTTAATATCCACATGCTAGCTTCACTTTGAGGGACCTAAGTGGGCCAAACTGACTTAATATAACAAATGTTTTTAAGTTTTTACAAAGAATATTGCAAATTTTATAATATGGGTTAGGATCTGAAAAAAGTTTAATGTTGAAATGTCTAGGAATTCAGATTTTTTTGTATCTAAAAAAGTTAAGTCAGGTCCTCTGGACAAATAAAAAAAAAACTTGTTGAAACTTTTGTCTTTAATCCAAAAAACTAAGTTCAGTCTGAGGAGTTGCAACAAGCTCAGTTTCAAATAGCCTCTTCTCATAGTGGATCAACCAGTTTGTTGTTAACATCCAGAACTAGCTGTTAACATAAGGAAGACCTGCAGCCTAACAACCCCTAACAATGGTTTCTTTTCACAAAGATGGCTTCCTTTACTCCTCTCTCAAACCATAGTTCCTCTCTATCAAGGATGTGCACATCTTCATCCCTGAAAGTGACTGCTGGCCTGCAGATGAGTGTAAAC